CCCCCACCCCAGTGCCCTGTGGCTGCAGATAGTCTGATGGTAGTAACCCACCCCGAGGCACAGCCATGCCACAGTGTGACCACGCTGGCAGAGGCACCGGGCAGGTAAAGCGTGCTCATTTCCAGCAACAAGGCACACACCCGGACTTCCACACTTGGCAGGAGGAACTGCTGCTTTTCTTGAAATGTGGTGAGGCACAAGGAGCAGGGAGAGTGCCCGGCCTGGAGGAGAGCCGGCTCAACACACTCACCCAGCCACGAGGCCGAGGCCTGGGCCTCAGCCTGCTCAGAGCCAGCAGTGCTGCTCCGAGTTCCTCTAGAAGCCTCTGCCCAGACTGGACATGCTGACCCACCCAGGGGACAGAGCCACTGCTTAGGGAGCTCCGCGCAGGGGGCCTCTCCAAGAGTAACACTGGGGCGTGCGGTGGGGCTGCACAGGGGCCCTCTCCGAGGGTAACGTCGGGGTGCGCACAGGGGCCGTGGGGCTGTCGGAGAGACTCCGCTCCAGGGCACGTCCTGTCAGAACCGCAACATACACACTGGGCTGCGGTGCCGGCCAGGCCCCTGGTACAGCAATGAGTTTGGGAACACTGCCCTTCCTTTCTGGAACAGTCACGGCACTGAAACAAAGACGCCCACATATTCCAAACCTGAGTCGCACGATCGTGCCAGGATGCCTGCCAGGCTGGGTGCTGGTCAGCGATCCAGCCCCTGGCCTCCAACGTGGCCAAGCCTGGGCCACACCTCCGCGTCCCACCCCTCGCTGCCCAGCCCCATGTTCCGCCTTCCGGCCTGGGCTCCATCTCTCCTCAGGAAGGGGACACGGAGGTGACAACAGAGATCCAGATTCGGAGACAAGACGTAATGCATGGGAGTGACATCACCGCTCCTGCTTGAATCCCACAGGCTTCCAAGAGACGATCTGAGGGCCCACCCGTACACGCCGAGGCCAGATGAGGGCACTACCCTCCAGTTTCTCCCCTGGGAGGGGTAAGGCCCCCAGATGGGACACCCACACTCCACAGGAGGTCATCCCAGTGCTGGGGACAGCCGTGACGGCCACAGCGGCCCCAGAACATGCACAGTCAGGACTGTGGTCAGCGGGGGCTGCAGGAGGGAGTGTCCCACAGGAGGGGCTGCTTGGGCCAAGGAGGAAGGGAGGGCCCCCTGGAAGGGCCGGCAGCATCAACTGTGGCCTCTCCTCCCCTTCTCCGCAGTCCGAGCCACCCGGAATCAAGCCCTCGGTTTCGGG